GTTAGAAGAGACGTGCTTCAAGCTGAGTTCTCTGAACTCAACTTGTGTCAGACGCAGATGGCGTAGCAAAATGTCTCAGGATGATTGCCTTGGAGATACGGGTCTGAGAGAAGAGAACTGTTAAGCTGCCTCTCCTTCCTCCTAGTTTTATGGAGCAGAAGGGACATCTGGAGGCGAGGACATCACATGATGAAGAAAGTCAGAATGGCAAACGACCAAACACTTAGATTCCCCTTCCACAACACCCACTAAGGGTCAATGAAGACTTTCCAATTGGAATTCTGTTATTCTGACTTCCAATTCCTGAAGGGAAGGTTGTGTTTGCCTTTTCTGTATGGGCCAATGAGGAAAGAATATGTGTTTATGTATGGATAGGGAACTGTATCTCTTTCTATATCTACATGTATTCCAACGGGGAGGGAATCACTTGGCCCTAAGTACCAGTGGCCTGAAGGGATACAGGTTTGCGGCAAGGGAAGAGCCAAGGCAGGAAGGCAGATGAGCGTCAGCAAAGAGACAGATGCTGAAAAGTAAAAGGGCGGGTAGATGGACAGAAGCCTGGGTCTGAGCAGCCCATGGCCAATTTTTTGGCCACAAGTGACTGCCAAAGACATGGAGAAATGGTTTCTCCATGTGGGACAAGAGACGGTAGAGGACCTAGAGACATGAGAGAGGGGCAATGATGAGCTCAACTCCATAGATGCGTTGGCTTTCTTCCTGGATACCCTTGCTGCCCTGACTAGCAAGGAGATGGAGCTCAAGGAGACTGTAGCCATCTTGCTGAAGGGAGGAGAGGGATTGGAGTTTGGGATGACTCTGGTAGCTAACATTTTCTAGGTCTGCTACAAATAAGACCTGCTTTGTGGAGGAAAGGAGCTCTACAAATATGCATAGAAGTCTCCTCCAGTTGTTGGCCTGACATGACGCTGCATGTGCACAGAAAATGGTTCCACAAGAAAGTATGGCAAAGAACTTTTACTGAGAAACAGGAACTACAAGAGAACAGCAAGCTCAATAAAGAAGACGGAGATCACATAGCACTGTGGGAGATCGGAGTTCTTACCAGCTAGACGAGAGAGTCCTCACAGAACACGTTGCCAATTCAATGGAGACCCCGGAACAGCCTTGATTTAAAAGTGGAATTAATATATTCCTAGAAATCAGGCAGCTGCAGACAGCCCCTTGCATAGCTGAACAGCCAGTGTCCAAGCATCAAATCGGTTTCTAAGTCAATGAACTGCCAGTGAGAGGAAATCTCAAGTCTCTTTACAAGTAAACAACAAAGTCAATTGGCTCAGCTATGCGGTATCCCCAGAGTGAGTCCTAAATTTAAAATTTGACTACATGTAGAAAAGCGTTTCGTGTAATCCATGACCAGGAAATAAATCAGGAACTACAAGCAAGCTCAGAAATGACAGAAATGATTAGAATTGCATGAAAATTGGACATATCGGTATGATAACGGATTTCAAATGTTTAAAAAAAGCATATGCAACAAACCAGATATCATATCAAGAGAAATTAACAGTGTAGAATAGCAAAATCAAATTAAAGGACTAGTATAAAAAAAAGTATGTCTTAAATGAAAAAGTTACTATATGACCTCTTGCTCAAGTTAGACATTTCTGAAGAAAAAATTAACCAAAAAAGAAATCTACGGAACCTGCAGAACTAGTTACACACACAAACCCAAATGCAAAACACACCCATACACGGGCACACGCAAAAACTCACAAGTTCTGTCACACACAAGGACACCCCTGAAGAAATAGTGAAATACGTAATCAGCAAACCCTCACAGACATGTAGAAAAATATGAAAAGATTTTCTGCATGTGGGAACCAAGTCACAGAAAAGAGCAAGGGAGTTTGGAGTAGAAGCAAGTACCGGAATCAAGAATGGTTGATAACTTTCAGTTATGAGGAACATTGAAAATATCAGAGTTTCATGAAACTCTATGGAACAATTATGGAAATCGGAAAAAAAAAAAAAAACAAAAACCCTGTGTGCTGTACTTTTGTACCCACATTTCGAAGGTATCAAGGCAAAGGCATAATACGAAGAAACATCTCAGGAGAAAGTAGAGGAAAAAGAGCTGTGTCTTCCTAGAAGTAGAGGGATACAAATTGCTAATGCCTTCACCTCAGAAACAGTGGAAGCCGCATACCAGGGAATATTATTAAAATGATAATCTAGAACCAGAAGAGATCAACCGAGAATGCTGAATCCAGCAATAAAATGCCTTGAAGATGATCTGTGTTGGATAAATGCATATTGTGCACTGCCCCAAACAAAGAAAGCGGAAACTGCCAGACTTTGGAATCAGCAGGCTTATGTAACAAGAGTGGTGACCCAATGGTATTAGATAGAAGAAGAATAGAAGAAGAAGGGAACTTTCTGCAGCCCATGTAATGTAGATACCAGCAACTGGCAAATGCAGAAAGATGTAAATGCAAAATATTTTCTTGATCAAATTTCTATATCTTTTTCAATGAGAGTTGACTACTTGAAGCAGAATGATAGCACTATGTTTAACTTTAGCATATGTGGAGGTAACAATTTGAACATGTAGCATAAATCATGCAGGTAATAATTGGAAGTGGACCAGTGTAAGTTTCTTACTCCATGCATGATGGTATGTAATATTAATAAAAGGTTACAGTGTGGGTTCAAAGGGATATTGCGAATCCTGGAGCAATCACACAGTTTTGAACTCTGAGGTTTATGTTATAATAAGAATATTCCATGCATTCCAAAGAGGGAAGCCAAGGAAGAAAAAGAAGTCTTTCAAGAGCTCGGGCTCTTATACATCCAGTTGCTGATTGAACCAACTTCCTGGAATGGAGTGTCTAGGGTTGAGACTAGGTCACAACTGTAGAGTCTATATAGAGAGAGTGTTGGAACTCCATGGCCCAGAATACATTCCCATATTCTCAGGCAGCCACAGGTCATGAATGTGAGGATACTGAGAGGTTGGAGCAACGTTCTTGGGAGGCGTAGGGAAGAGTGAATGCTTCAAGATCCCTGCAGCCCAAACTCCTCCCCTGCTTTGCCCCCTTCTTCATTGTTTTCTGCTCCTCCGTAGCTGTCCGACCTCTTCAGATCTCTTATTCTGCCCTGCTGTCTTCCTTTATGCCATGGGTCCCACTGTTCTTTCAACTCATCCGCTTTCCCTCAGTCCCAGAGTGGCTGCGGCCAGCAGAGGATAGACTGAGAGCAAGAGAGAAGGTCCTGCCCAGGAACCCATTCTAGAGATACTGCATCCTGCCTGGGAGCAAATTTTCCAGGGCAGCTTTGAGAAGTCGTGCAGAAATAAACCTACTTGAACCACATGATGTGGGAATGACAGACAGTAATAGTATTTGCACACTGCATTTCCCTGTGAAATGGAGAGCCTTTTCAGTATGTTTTGGGTACATAGTGTGTGAAGGTTGACCTGGAAAGGCTGTCCTTCTGGATGCCATGTTTTCTCTGAAGAACTACGTGTTACCTGCAATTCCCACATTAGAATGTGAACTCCTACCAAGAGAGATACTGAGAACTAGACAGATATAGACACTTTTCTATGTGAATAAACAATGGCAAAATATAGACGTTAAAATCTATACCAGTTATTCCAGAGAGATGGATTGGGCAGAAGGCAGAAGGAGAATAGTCTGATCATTTTTGGGCCACGTGTATGCATTATTTCAGTGTCTCTAAGAAGCGTTTGCTACTTTAGATTTTAAAAAATCGTAATAATCTCTTAAGTATGAGAAATGTGCAGAGAGGCTTAGGAATGAGAACCATTCGTGCTTGTGGCAATCATATGGTACTTTTAATGGGTATATTAGAAAGGCACCGGTAATGACCTTGTTGCAGCACAAAAGAGAGGGTGTGGGGTGCCCGTGCATAGTGTCCCACCTCTTGTGACATGTATCGTTTTGGAATTTCCAGTGGCTTGATCAGGAACTACTGCAGGAATCCAGATCCTGTGGCAGCCCCTTATTGTTATACGATGGATCCCAATGTGAGGTGGGAGTACTGCAACCTAACACAATGCTCAAACGCAGAAGGGACTGCCGTCACACCTCTGACTGTTACCCCGGTTCCAAGCCTAGAGGCTCCTTCCGAACAAGGTAAGGAGCCTGTGGCCAGACATCTACACGCTTAGAAGCTGGGATGAAAAGCCATGGAAATTCCGACTGGTGCAGCAGCTTTCAATGGTCCACGGATGCTGGAGTGTTGACCAAGTTCTGCCATGTAGGAGGAAGCCTCCGTGCACTCTCTAGGGGAGACAGCGGAGTGATTTCTGGTATATCGTGGGTGGGCTGTGTCTTTAGGATGGGCACAAACCCTCCAGGGTGTGCCCAGGGTGTGCCCAGGAAGCTTTTCCAGGGATTTCTTCAACTAGACAGCATTCAGTGCAATCTTCAGCATTGCAGATTCCGAGAAATAGGACTCTGGAGCCTGTCGCCCTGGAGAAGCCTAACAGGGCTTCCTTTATTCCATATCACCCTGGGTCAATAGAGCAGTACATGAACTCCCAATGCTCTCAGGCTCTGCAGCCCTAGGCTTTGAAGGGAGTGATTTCTCCGTATTCTTAAACCTCTTTCCGATGGCACCTGTACCAGGAAGGGGTATGGAGAGAAAGAGTAGTAGATTTCTCATTTATTGTAATTCAGGATATGGGGCACGAGAGGATTCCCTCTCTCCTCCAGAGGAATAAGTTTTTGGCCTGCGCACATCCCTGAGAAACAAAGCGTCTTTGCCTTCAGTCAGATATAGAGGACCGTTTACTGCCCCATGGCCCGGAAGCCAAAGGCCTTGGCTTTCATGATCAACGGACTAGGGAAACATGCAAGATTTCCATGTCTGTCCCCGCCTCTGTCCCCGACAGCCGATTACCACCTGCAGCCCGCATTGCCAAATGCAGTGCCTTTTGCTCAATCTTGCCCCATCTTCCTCATGAACATTCAGTAGAGTTTCCTAGAAAGGTGCTTGCTCATGAGCGCACTTTCCAATGAGAAGCATTCTGATCTGCTCTATTTCTCTAAAGTTGCAGGTGAAATATTTCCAAGAACTGACTATGGTTCTAGAATGGTAGGAATCTGTTGCTTTGGTGTTGTTTTGTTGGTTGGTTTTCTCACATCCCTCGGCCTACGGATAAGGAAAAGAGTACGGTCGTAATTCTCATAGACTCCTTTCTGGTCATGTCATCAGTGGCTTCACATGTTTCTCTTTTCTCAGAGATACTCAGCTTGATTTCTTCCATTTTCCTTTCAGCACCAACTGAGCAAAGGCCTGGTGTCCAGGAGTGCTACCATGGTAATGGACAGACTTATCGAGGCACATACTTCATCACTGTGACAGGAAGAACCTGCCAAGCTTGGTCATCTATGACACCACATTCTCATAGTCGTACCCCAGAAAACTACCCAAATGGGTATGTCTTTGTTCTTTACCGTAAGAGAAGAAAAGGTCAACTGAAGTTTCTGTGAGAAGAAACGTGCTTCAAGCTGAGTTCTCCGAACTCAACTTGTGTCAGACGCAGATGGCGTAGCAAAATGTCTCAGGATGATTGCCTTGGAGCTAAGGGTCTGAGAGAAGAGGACTGTTAAGCTGCCTCTCCTTCCTCCTAGTTTTATGGAGCAGAAGGAACATCTGGAGGCGAGAACATCACATGATGAAGAAAGGCAGAATGGCAAACGACCAAACACTTAGATTCCCCTTCCACAACACCCACTAAGGGTCAATGAAAACTTTCCAATTGGAATTCTCTTATTCCTGCTTCCAATTCCTGAAGGGAAGGTTGTGTTTGCCTTTTCTGTATGGGCCAATGAGGAAAGAATATGTGCTTACGTATGGACAGGCAAATGTATCCCTTTCTATATCTACATATATTCCAACGGGGAGGGCAACACTCGGCCCTAAGTACCAGTGGCCGAAGGGATACAGGTTGGTGGCAAGAGAAGAGCCAAGGCAGGAAGGCAGATGTGAGTCAGCAAGGAGACCGATGCTGAAAAGCAAAATGGACGGGTAGATGGACAGAAGTCCGGGTCTGAGCACCCCGTGGCCAATTTTTTGGCCACGAGTGACTACCAAAGACATGGAGAAATGGTTTCTCCATGTGGGACAAGAGATGGTAGAGGACCTAGAGAATTAAGAGAGGGGCAATGATGAGCTCAACTCCATAGATGCCTTGGCTTTCTACCTGGGTACCCTTCCTGCACTCACTAGCAAGGAGATGAATCCAAGCAGACTGTAGCCATCTTGCTGAAGGATGAGAGGTATTGG